ATGGATGGTTGTGAGCCACCGTGGTTGCCAGAAATCAACCTCAGGAACTTGGAAAGAGCAGCCGGAGCTCAACCTCTGAGCCACCTCGCAAGCCCCACCACGTTTTAGTAGACCAGGCTGGCCTTGAACTCACAGAGATCCACCTGCCTCTGCCTCCCTGGGTGCTGGGATTAAAAGCATGAGCCACCCGCCTATCCAGCCAAATTTTAAAGACAGGGTTTTTCTATGTAGCCCTGGCTGTCCTGGAACTTACTCTGTAGACCAGACTGGCCTCAAACTTAGTGATCTGCCTGCCTCTGCCTCTCAAGTGCTGGGACTAAGGGCATGTGCTACCACCATCTAGCAAAATAATTCTTTAAAAAGGTTATTTTGGAATAAGATAACTATTGCTGCTCAAACATCCACTTCTCAACAACTTGCTACTCCTAAGCGGACACCTTTCTGATGTTACACTGTCCTGACGTTTTTTAAAAGCCCCTTAAAGCCCATGGTGACCAGTACTAAGCACCAGAGTCTCTGAATACCTTGGGGGCTTCATCCTTGCTGTTGGGGGGCAGCCTCAGGACCCAGGAGTTCCGGTTTTGCATCTGGTTCTCCAGGTCCTCCAGCCGCCGCTGCAGCAGCCCGTACTCCTGCAGCAGGGTCCCCAGCACGATCCACTTGCCCTCCAGCTGGCTGCTGAGCTCCACAGCTGTCTTCTCAAAATCAGCCAGCTTCTTCTCGGCTGACCCTGTTCGCACTTCCAGGCTTTGAAGGTGGACAGCCTGGGACGCCGTTTTCTTCTCCACTGCCTGAACAGCAGCCAGGAGAGCTAAAAGGGAGATCTCTGCAGACTGGATCTGGGCCTGCTGTTGGAGGTCAGTCCCCACATGCCAGTCCTAGGACCAGAGACAAGGAGATATGTTAGCTTCCGGAAGGCAGACCAGAACGTTCTCAAATATAGGAAGAGCAGTATCTTCTGGAATAGGTTTAGCACCCTCCCTGGTCAGATCCCAGTCAAAGACCACAGACACTAGACCCCACAGAACGTTCCTGGGAGGAAACTGAGCCTAGACCCATTGCAATGGGTACTAAAAGAGGATGCAAATGCTTCCCGGGTTTACTCTTGCTCTTCCCTTACATTAGTTCCAGCACTATTTCACCACCTGTCCTTCTGGGGACACAGCCCGACAGCAAGGACACAGAACCTACACACCCAATGGCAATCTCAGCGCTCACACCCAACCCCAACCCCTCCCAGAGACAGGGTTTCTGTGTAGACCAGGCTGGCCTTGAACTCATAGATCCATAGGCCTCTGTCTTCTGAGCGCTGGAATTAAAGGTGTTTTGTGACACCACAGCCCAGTACCCTCACCCCCCTCTCAGAGCAGCTTCCCCCAAAGTGAGGCCCTGCTGTTCTGCCCTTGGTGATTTCTAAGGGTGCAGCGACTTAACTAACCTGCCTGAGATACTGGTTGTCTTAGTTAGGGTTTCTGTGAAACACCATGACCAAAAACAACTTGAAAAGGAAAGGGTTTATTCTGCTTACACTTCCACATCACTGTGTATCACTGAAGGAAGTCAGGGAAAACTCAAGCAAGGCAGAAACCTGGAGGTAGGAGCTGATGCAGAGGCCATTGAGGGGTGCTGCTTACTGGCTTATTGCTCATGGCTTGCGCATCCTGCTTTCTTCTGGACCCCAGGCCCCCCAGCTCAGGTGTGGCCCACCCACAACGAACTGGGCCCTCCCACACCAAACACTAATTAAGAGACTGCCCCACAAGCCTGCCTACAGCTGGATCTTATGGAGGCGTGTGCTCGGTTGAGGGTCCCTCCTCCCAGGACACTCCAGCTGGTGTCAAGAACGACAGGTCTGTGCCTGAGGCACCTCATCCAACAGCCCATACAGTCACTACACTGGAAGCTAGATCTTAGCTGCCAAGTAAGTCAGGCTAGAGAAAGCAGGCAGCCGGCCTCTTAGTCAAGATTCCCAGGGAGTATCCCGCCCGACGGAGGTGGACAATGTAAATAAGACAAAGAACAGGGTGTTCCTCCGTGGGGCCAGCAGATAAATCCTGGAACAGGCCTCTTCCAGAACTGAATTCTGTGCAGTTTAAGGCAAAGATAAACTATTCTTCTAAAGCTCTGTTTTCTCAATTACAAGGCCATCAGGACTGTCCCCTCTCTCAGGTGGTGAAGGATGAAATAACCCACGGGTCTGAAAAGCACTCGTTTCTCTGTGATTGCTCGCCACAAATCCGACCTGGAGAAAGGTCTCTGAAATCACTGTAAAGCTCTCGCTGCGGGAGATGCCCTAGACCTACAGGAACAGTGTATCTCAGCAGTTTGCCCACAGGGGTTGCCTGAACACGCCTACTCAACGTCTTCTATTATAAAAAGGAGTGGGAACGCCTTCCAGCGAGTTGTCAGAAAACAGCAGGCGAGGATGTATGTATCCACCCAGAACGGAATCGCAGGCCTGAAAGGCCGTGGGACTCTCCTAGGCAGGGACAACATTCTAGTTCTCAGGTCCAAGCGGTCTAACTGGAGAGGCCTTAGCTCGGGAATGGATCTTCGGTGACCAATAATTGCGAGGGGACGCGGAGAGGTCCCGGAAAAGCAATCACATGGAGTAAAAACGTCCACAGCGGTGCACCGGGCCCAGGCATTTCCTATTTAAGCTCAACCTATATTATAAATGACCGGAACCATAGCAAGGAGACAGGACGTTTATCAAGTGGCCATAGGCGCCCTAGTCCTCCCCGAGACCCTGGTTGAGCGCTACACAATTTTAAGATGTCCTCCCGGCGAATTCAGGAACTGCTGCGCATCCCCTACGGGATTGGTGAGGACCGCTCTTACCGGAGCAGGGGCCGCCTCGGTCATGGCTGCGTCCGATCCGGCCTCGTCTCGGAGTCGCGGCTGCGCTTCCCAGACAGCCCTTCCTGGACCAGACAAGCGGACCTCGAGCGGCCGTCCGCGGCGCACAGCCTCCGGCCGCGGTCTACCCAGCGCGGAGACAGCAGCTCCCAGCTGCTCCTCCACCGCTCCCGCCGCTGCAGCGCAGGCCCCACCCGCCGCGAGCTGGCTACCCATTGGCTGACCCCCGAGGCCCCACCCCCGGGAGGGCCAGGATTCCATTGGCTAGCGGAGAGCATCAGCCACTGTGCGCGCTAGCGCGTAGCCCCGGCCCCGCAGGTGTGAGCGCCAGGTGTCTGGCTCCATTCACCTACCAATTCCACCTACGCAGAACTAAGCAATCCACTGAGGTCACCAGCTGAGACTTCCCAGAACAAACTAGGCCACAAGCACGCAGTTGCTTATTACAACGTGTTTATAGAGCACCGATTAGGCTGAGACTGCCACCTCCGTAGTTCTTAGGGCTTTGTGGCCCAACCATTTCTTTGTTTTACAAAATGAGCTAGAAGAGTCTGGGATCCGATCAGGACTCCATCGCTGGAATCCTGTAACCAAGCAGCCTTTGTCCACTGTAAATTCAAAACGTTCCTTAACGTGTCCTACTGAATTCCAGGGCAAACGCAGTAAGGCCAGTTGGACATGATGGCACAGGCAAGTAAATCCTGGCACTCTGGAGATAGAGGCAGGAAAATCACAGCAAGCCCACAGCCAGCCAGGATGACACAGCACCTCTTTCCCCACCCTAGCCCTTGAATTTGTGTTCGAATATAGAATACTTGTTTCCAGAGAGAGCATCTAAAGCATTAGAAAAGAGGCCTAGGAAGCTCCCGAACAGCAGCAGTGAGCTCTCCCAGCGGAGGATTAAGCTTGGGACAGATATACTGTGCACATCCTGTCTGAGCATTTGACAGTTGCTGTCTTGCTTGTAGGCCTAAACAATGGTTGGGTGAGCAGACAAGCAGAGTTCAGAACCATGAACTGCCACAGACTCGCTTGCTTACTTACTGCCCCAGGGATGATGGCACTGTTACCCTTGGCCTCATCTCTTCAGGACTTTTGAGTGGCAAGGCTCTGAAGGGCATCAATAACAGAGGCAGGGATGAAGGTACCCGAGCCTGCCTGAATGTGCTCTGGGGGCTGAGTGCCAAACAAGAGAGTAAACTCTCAGGAGAACTGGGATCCATAACCCCAGCTTCAGAAGCACCCCCCAGGCTGTCCAGAAACACCCAAGGTGGTGAGCCAAAGAGGCAGAAGAAACCACCCATTCTCAAGACTATCAGGTCTGACACTATCACCTCAAATTCCTGGTCTTGAGCTTGTGCTTTTGAAGGGCTCCTAAAGTACCAGCTCAGCCAGAAAGTGAAGGAACTGCCACTTAGCAGAAGAGAAAGGTCCTGCCTAAACGATTCTTTCTGGGACAAAGGGCAAAGGACCAACAACAACAAAAAAAAGAGACCCAGACTTAGCAGGTTAAAACCAGTCATAGTTGTCTAGTGCCTCTTCTGACACACACAACTCTACAGTGACATCCTGGAGCTCTTCTCCTTGTCACACAGACACATGAGCCTCAAGAAAACTGAAGGATTCCCTAGCTGAGGTCCTAGAGTTCACCAGGCGGGTGCTTCCTGGGCTTGCTTTATATTCTCCTTCAGGCACTTTTGCAGGCCTGCCACAATGGGTCAACCACACTGTCAACCCTGAGGCCTGAGCTTCCTAGCTTCCATTTCCCTCACAACTCAGTAAAAGTAGTAGGGGATGTCACTGCCGTGTGAGGGAGAGGCTGGGGAAAATGAGGCACTACAGGCACTCAAAACCCTTCAGTACCCTGCTTTCAGGACATGTCCACTAAAGCAAGTGTACACTAAGCTGGTCCTCCCACCCTGACAACACCACATGAGGTAGGAGAAAGTTCCTGCCCTTCAGCAGCTTCTGGCCTCCAAAAAAAAAAAAAAAAAAAAAAAGAAAAGAAAAAGAAAAAAAAAACTCAGAGTAACAAAGTTTAAAAATCAAAAGAAAAATAAAGCAAAAGCCTGCTCTGGTCCCATCCTGTAAAGATACAATCTCTGTTCCTACTGACTACAATACCAGCCAAAGGCCACACCTTAAATCTTAAGGAGTTTTTTTTACAAGTCAGGAATGTGCAAAAGAAGGAATTAGGAGGCACCCTGTCACAGTTACAGTCACCAAAAGACTTGATTCTTCCCATTTGAATGGAAAACAAAACCAGACTCTCCAAATCCATCCCAGATTGAGGGACCAACGTCAGGTCAGGCACAAGGGAAAGGCCCTGAGATAATGCAGGTCCTGCCAGGAGAGCGAAAGGGTGTAACGGCAGGCTCCTGGTCAGCCTTCCTCGTTAGGGCTAGGCTCTCCTGGAGGACAGAGGCATGAGAAACGCAGGATTGCCTGGCCTCAGAAGTGGGTCTGCATGTGGATAGTCAGGTGGTGGTTCCTGTTGAAGGCCCGGCCACACTGGGGACACTGATAGGGACGCTCGCCGGTGTGGATGCGCTGGTGACGAAAGAGGTCGGAGGGCCGGCGGAAGGCCTTGCCACAGTAGGGACAGGTCGGCCAACCCTGCCTTTTGCCTGTGTGCTGACGCTGGTGCAGGATCAGGCTCTTCCGTTGCTGAAAGGAGTGCAGGCATTTACTACAGTGGTAAACCTTAGCTGCTGGCCTTCGGCCCATCACCGCGTGGCTTGCCAGGGAACGGTGGCTTGTGGGCTCCTCAGGCACCCAGCGGATGACAGGGCCAGGCACCACCACCTCTCCTGGTTCCAGTGTGGAGTGACTTTCCTCCAACCCAACAGGCAAGCCACTCCAAGCCTTGCTGCGCTCCTTTTCTACGTGGGTCCGCTGATGGATTGTCAGATTAATCTTCAAGCGGAAGTTCTGCCCACAGTCAGGGCACAGGAATGACCGTCCCCGTAATCGGGAAAGGGTGCGGGGTGGTTCTCCCATAGCATCTGCAGCTTGGGGTTCCCCAACCTGCACCCTAGGCACTCCCTGGGCATGATGCCGTCTGGAGCCTCTAGTCTTTTTCCTGGGCCTTTTGTGGACTCGATACATGGGCTGGCTAGGGGACTCCGGAAGGTGCTCCTCAGGTTCATCCTCCGACGGGGCTTCTGTCTTGATGGTCACAGCACCACCACCTAGCAAAGGAATCATTACTGCTTCCAGGAGGACCAGATGGCTCCCCTCAGCAGGTCTTGTTCCAGGCTCAGAACTCTCCTCCTTTCCCCAGGTTCTGTGTCATCAGAGCAGGTCAGGGGTCCTCTCCAGACACCATGGAGCAGGCACTGCCTCATCTACTACTCAACTGTTTGTATCTTACCACCCATTCCCGAAAGCTGAGCTAAGAGCAGCAGAGAAGGGAGAAAGCTACAAAAAACAGGAGCCGGGGACCCTATGGAGTCCAGGATTTGATTCTGGGAGACAGAAGGCGGGGACTGTAGGGAAAGACTCTTCAGCCACGGCAACGCTACTTGTTTTGATGATGATAGTTGTAATCTGAGGACAAGCACCCATGGGCCCCACTTCTTCCAGATCATGATTAAGGGGCCTTGTGGGTCACAGGTGGCTGTAATCCCAACACTGAGGAGGCTGAGACGGGAGAGTTGCCACAAATGTAAGACAAGCCTTGGCTAGACAGGGATTTTAAAGCCACCCAGCTACACAGCCCCTTCTAAACTAACTAACTAACTAAATAAATAAATAAATAATAAAATAATAAAATAAAAGCAAAGCCACCTTTTGGGCCTTGTACGTCACCCACCCCAAACAAATCTACCAGGGTGTGCACTGCCACATCAACCTGTGATTCCTGTAAGGTCTCATCTGAGGAAAGACTGGAACTGACACAGGGCAATGGCAGGGACAGAGCCATGAAAAACACAGGCTGAGTGAGGTGAGGATTCCGGTTCCCAGATTCAGAGAATAAAGGGTCCTAGCATTGAACCCTATCAAAAACCATGGACTCCAGGTAAAGGACCTAAACATAAACTATGGTCAACATGAAAAGTGCGAGATACCACAGGCTGTGAACCCAGGTAGGCCCAGCCACACTGTGGGACTGAGAGAGACCTTATAAACAGCCTGTCTATCACTAGCACACAACAGCCTAAGACATGCAGCTGTCTTCAAGGAGTGACTTTCCACTAAGGCCAGTTGACCACAGCTGACTATTACTACCAAATGGCCCTCTGGGCTTCTATGAGGCTCTGACATAGCCGCAGGTGTCCTCTCCTTTCACTCACCTGGCCCCACAGAAGGCAGGCTATCTGTGGGGGGGGAGGGTGGCAACTCGCCCTCTGGAACGTCTCCCTCCTGCTTAACTGATAAAGAGCTGGTGTTTTCTGGAATTCCTGGGAGAGGGAGAGGGAGATGAAGGCCATTCTTAACACAAGTATCACAGGAGGTGTGGCCATTTCTGCAGCAGGCTCCAGACAGGCTTACGGGCCTGCCGGGAAGAGGCCTGCCAGCTTCCATCTGGAGGCCTTCTGAGATGAGAATATAGCTATGAAGGCCACATCCTCAATCCCATGTAGGCAGGCCCAGGCTCATAACATTTCCCTCCATATCTGTCACCTTCATAAGCCTCAAAACAACAGAAGGTTTGGGTAGGCTCCAGGACAGTGGGCAGGGATAGTGTTCTCTTAAGTTCCATGCATACAGTTGAGCTCCATGCATACATGGGCTGGGAGGAACACAGAAAAGGGGAAAGTCATGTGTTGTGAGGGGAAATGCAAAGAGACCACTAGAAGGAAGGCAACAAGGACTGGGAGTGGGGCCAGAAGGAAGAGTAAGAAGGGAAGAGAAGTAAGCCCAACTCGGCCCATGAGGCTCATGTCCTCTGAGTCGATCTCAAAAAAGGACCAGCGGGAACTGCCTAAAAACAGAAGCAGACAAAGAATCCTGGATGAATGAGAAAAGTCAAGAGTTCGAAACAAGTTTTCAGAGAATACTGAGAAAGTGCAGTGTGCAGACTGGAGGTAGCACACAGACCACCATGTTGACATGAGCACTGCAAAAAGCTCCAGCAGGTCCCAGCCACAACTCTTCTGGAATGCAAGTTTTGATTTCTTTGTAAACTCATAAACATAAACTTATATAAACATGTTTCTGTTTTAATCCCGAGTGTGGGATTTTAGTTTGGCCATATTTTGTCCACATCTGTTAATTGTCACATGTGGGGCATGATCTCTGCCAGCTGGTAACGGCCTTCCACGTGTGGCATGGAGAGGGGCGTGGTCTAGGACTCAGAGAGTATAGTTATGAGGCCTAGAAAGAGAAAAGCAGATTCATGTGGTGGTGGTCAGTCTTGGCGTGTGGTATGTAGCAGTGTGGAGAGAGCAGAGACCAGAGACGGTGTGGCGGTTTGGGGTAGACAGACAGAGGGAAACTCTGGCTAGCTGTGTCTGCGGCTGGCAGAGATTGGTATAGAGCCCTAAAGAACCCCTTGACCCTAAATAGCCAGGAAAAGTAAAGCGGTCTGGGTGCCCTCTCCCCACTAACCTTTCCTCTCTCCTACTTAAGGTTGGGGGGTTGGTGGAAGGAAGGTGGAGGCCTAGACACTCCAAATAGTTTTAAAAAGACCACTACAGGAGGCTTTATGCTACACTCTTCCCCTCGCTCTAGACACACAGGTATGCCCAGGCTCCAACGGTGCTACTCAGACATTTGAGCCCTCAAGCACTGAACCTACCTCTCCGAGGCCCATCTTTTGAGAGCCTAGCCAGCACAGTTTAACATTTGGCTTGTTTCCTATGCTGAGAACACCAGTGTGGCTGTCCAGCTGTCCTTACTCACCAGTACCTGGCTTAGTTGGAGTCATGCTTGCTTCCTCTTGCTGCTGCTCAGGTGTCTGTCTGTCTTCTGGTTCGTTCTGGGCAGGGCTCACTGGACTTGGGGCCTGCTCTGGACTCAGAGAGATGCCTAGAAACACAAACATTGAGCACAATACCAAGGTCTCCAAGACAGGTGAACAGTGATTCTGGGGACACAGTAAAAGCAGAGTCTCTGGGATCCTGGTTAGCAGACCAAAGATAGATGTAAAGATACAATGGCCATGCCCATTGCCTATAGCTCAACTGTCTAAAGCCTCTTTTTTTGTGTCTCACATGTCCTTGTTCCCTGTTAAGCCATCTCACCAGCCCTGTTTTTCACTTTTTACTTTTGAGATAAGCTCTAAGTTGCCCAGGCTGGTCTTAAACTCATTCTGTAGGCTAAGCAGGCTTTGACTTATAAGTCTCCTATCCTCCAAAATAACAGGTCTACAGGCCTGTTCTATAGGCCCTGCTTAAACTTGGACTCCTGATTCTTCCCTGGCTATTTTTGTTTTTTTCGTTCTGTGTTCTTGTTTTATTTTTGAATTACAATCCTCCCACCTCAGACCCTGAGGAGCTAGGATTTTACTTTAATAGGTGAATTGTATGGTACATAAATTATACCTCAGTAAAACTGTTGAAAATGTGGGAGAACTTTGATGGGGTTTTTATATATTTAAAAGACATAAATCCAACGCAGTATGTTGACTTTGGGTTATTAAAATCAAGTTCCTACTGGAAACAGAATAAGGACCAGATATTTTCTGAGGTGGGTGATAATATTGTGTTTATGTCTAGAAAATGGGAGAGGATTGGCAAAATCTCCACCACTGGCTTGCTTGCTTCCTTCCTTCCTTCTTTCTTTCCTCCTTTCCTTCTCCTTCCTTCCTTCCTCTTTCTTTTCCTTCCTCTTTTCCTTCCTTCCTTCCTTCCTTCCTTCCTTCCTTCCTTCCTTCCTTCCTTTCTTTCTTTCTTTCTTTCTTTCTTTCTTTCTTTCTTTCTTTCTTTCTTTCTTTCTTTCTTGACACAGGGTCTCAACCTAGCCCAGGCTTGCCTAAACCTTACTACTGAAGAGCAGTGATGATCATTTGGTGGTTACAGTCTTGTTCTAGTTGGCTTATGTTTAAATTTTTGGTTTTGTGGTTTTGTGGTTGTTGTTTGTTTTCTGAGACAGGCTTTCTCCGTGTGTAGCCTGGGCTGTCCTGGAATCACTCTGCAGACCACCTGCCTCTGCCTCCTCAATGCTGGGATTAAAGGTATGTGCCACCACTGCCCAGCTTTGTTTAAAAACTTTTTTTTTTTTTTAGAAAAAAAAAAAAAAAAGGATGTGTTTACTTTCTTGCCAAACATGGTAGCACAGGTCTTTAATTCTAAAACCTGGAAGGCAGAAACAGGCAGATCTACATGAGTTCAAGGCCAGCCTGATCTAAATAGTGAATGCCAGGACAGTCAGAGCGTAACAGTGAGACCGTAAATACATGCATCTGCGTGTGTGTCAGCTTTGGCCTGCATGTATGTCTGTCTACTACATGCATGCCTCCTGCCTACACAGGCCACCAGCTTCCCTAAACTGGAGTAACAGACAGCTCTAAACTGCCGTGGATGCTAGGAACTGAACACGAGTCCTCTGAGCAGTGAGTGCTCTTAAACACTGAACCTCCCCAGCCCTCAAAGGAGGCACTAATATCTCGTATGGAGCCATTGTCAGACACTGGCTACGGAGCAGGCCCACCCTGTCCAGCAAGGAGCCATCCCATCCCAGAGCACCACAGCAGCAACTGTCTCCTGCTGCTGGCAGAGCTGACCAAGTGATGGCAGATGGACATGGATACCACTGAAGGTGGCACAAAGTAGATGCCACTATGCTTTACCATAATTGACCATCAGCCCACTTAGGAGATAACTATTGTATCCTTGGCCTGTGTTTGCCATCTTTGACCTCACAACCACCCCGTTTGTGCTGGTGCCTCCTACAAAGAGGCAGAATCCTTACAGCTCTAAGGAGAAGCTGTTTACTTCCACTCAGAGCGGCCTCAGACGCTGTGCAGCCCGCTCCGGATAAAGGCCCTATGGTCCCTTCCCAGCTCCAGAATGGTCCATAGCCAGGAAGGTTGTTTGTTGTTGTTCACTTTGCCCCAGCAGTTCCCAACATGTGCCAACACTTACCAGTGTTTAGTTTCCTTGGGCATACTGTTTCTTCCTCACTCCCCTTCTCCTGGACCCAGGAGCCTGGAGGACAAGGCTCTTCTCCCCTCTCTATCTGGGTGAGGATGTCTGGTTTGGAGATGGCATAATCTGCAGATAGAATGGGGAGGGCATGAAGAAAGATCTGGGTCTGGCTGCCCAAAGCAAAGGCAAAGACTGCAGGAAGCCATCCCCGGATGGAAGCCCAGGTATTCCTCTGCAGCCTTACCCAGGGAGACCAGCATCTCATAGTTGCCTCTCATCACATGCTTGTAGAGTTCCTTCTGCCAGTCCTCCAGTTTGTCCCACTCCAATTCGGAGAAATACACAGCCACATCATCAAAGGTCAGGGGCACCTGAAACCACAGTGTCATACTCTCACCTACATGCTTATAGGCACAGGCCCATAGGCTCCTACCTCAGGACTCCCAAAAGCTACCTTGGGGACCTCGCCCTTGCTGCCGGGTGGCAGCCGCAGAATCCAGAAGTTCCGGTTGCGCAGCAGGTTCTCCATATTCTCCAGCCGCCGCTGCAGCAGCCCATTCTCCTGCAGCAGGGTCCCCAGCACGGCCCACTTGCCCTCCAGCTGGCTGCTGAACTCCACAGCTGTCTTCTCACAGTCAGCCAGCTTCTTCTCGGCTGTCCCTGAGCGTCCCTCCAGGGTCAGCAAGCGGGACAGGCAAGATTCCACTTTCTTCTCCAAGGCCTGAACGGCAGCCACCACAGTCCACAGTGTGATCTCTGGGGAGTAGCGGTATGAGCTCGTCTCTGCATCTGGCTGGGGTGAAGAAAAGGTAGGAGGCTTCTATTACACAGCTGCTTGTCCCTCTCAGAAAGCTGCTCAGGAGACAGGAGAATCACATCAGCAAAATAGCCACATCGAAAAACAGGCACAGCGTCCACATACTCTCAACCTTCACAAACTGAGGCAGGGGGATTACTTCACGCTCAAGGGCAGCCTGAACTAGTGAGCTCCAGGCTAGCCTAGACTCAAGAGTTGAGACCAGCCAGGTAGAGTGGCACGTGCCTTTAATCCCAGCACTAAAGGCAGGAGGATCTCTGTGAGCTCAAGGACAGCCTGGTCTAGTCTACACGGCAAGTTCCAGAGCAGGCAGGGCTGAATTGTATAACTGTCATTTAAAAAAAAAAAAAAGGCATTTTGTCCATGTACCTACAGGTCTACATTCAAAGACTCACCCAACCTGGAATAAAAGTAAAAATATTTGGAAAGAAAAAAAAATGTATCTGTTCTGAACATGTATACACTTTCCTTGACATCATTTTCTCCACGATGAAATTATTAGATTTAACGTATTTTGGAGCACATCAGTAGGGTATATGCAAACACTAATTTATGTAAGGGACTTGAGCATCCCTTGGTATCAGCTGCAGTAATTACAATAATGGGATAGGCCGTGTTGAGATCTATCCTGTTAGCAAGTTTCTTGGGATATCAGGTACTGCCAGACAGCTGAGGGATAAGAGCAGGTGGACGGCCCCACTCCCATAACCTGTGAGCCCCTTCCTTGCAGTAGGGGAACCCAGAAGGCCACACAGCAAACTAAAGGAAAGGAGGGGTTCCCTTCAAAAAGTTTCTAGAAGACTAAGGTTTCAGAAACTTGTCTGAAATGTACTGGTAATAATAAATACCACTTACTGAGAGATTTTTCCAGGTGAAAGGTCTTCTAGAATGTTCCCTGAACTGGCACACTGAACATTACCAAGCTACTCTTCTTTTTGTTGTTGTTGTTTGCTTGCTTTTTTGGTGTTTTTTTTTTTTTTTTTTTTTTTTTTTTTTTTTTTTTGTGTTTGGTTTTTTTTTTTTTTTTTTTTTTTTTTTTTTTTGAGACAGGGTTTCTCTGTGTAGCCTTGGCTGTCGTGTAACTCACTGTGTAGACCAGCCTGGCCTCAAACTCAAGAGATCCGACTGCCTCTGCCTCCTAAATGGTGGGTTTAAAGAACGCCACCACCACCAGGCTTCAAGCTACCCTCATAAAAACTGCTAAACTTTCAGTGGTTCTTAACCTTCCATAGCTGTGACCTTCATGTTGGGGTGACGCCTGTCCTAGTCAGGGTTTCTATTGCTGCAACAGAACACCATGACCAAAAAGTATATCCGGGAAGAAAGTGTTTCTCTGTCTTATACTTCCACATTGCTGTTCATCACTGGAGGAAGTCAAGATAAGAACTCACACAGGGCAGGATCCTGGAGGCAGGAGCTGCTTACCGGCTTGCTCCCTTATAGAACCCAGGGCTACTATCCTGGGGATGGCACCACCCACAGTGGGCTGGGCCCTCCCCCACTGATCACTGATTGAGAAAATGCCGTACAGCTGAATCTCACAGAAGCATTTCCTCAACTGATGCTCCTCTGTCTCTGATGACTCCAGCTTATGTCAGTTGACACAGAACCAGCAATACAACCCCAAGAATAAAATTATTTTGTTGCTACTTCATCACTGTAATTTTGCTATTGTTACGAGTCCTAATGTAAATATCTAATATGCAAAGCCAAGGGGTTGCGACCTACAGGTTAGGAACCATTAGTCTTTAAAAAACACACACCAAAGGCCACAAAATTAGAAAACCTGTTGCAAACTGCGTTCAGTATAAAAGTAAGAGTCGCTAGGTGTTTTAATCCTAACGTGTTGGCCTGAGCCTAAGCTCAACGTCTACCTGACCCTTCGCTGCCTCACACTGGCTCCTCCCTGGCTGCTGGGCCGCAAAACAAACAGTGTCTTCTGCGGGGTCCTTCGAGGCCTTCCGGAGAAACCTGAGCTTCCGGCCTAGCGTGGCCACGGGAGGGGGTCAGGTCACGGTCTCCGGTCTTAGGGCCTAGCCCACCGGGCCTGGGGTGTAGGCCGCCCGCCGCCCGCCGGGTGCAAGCCGCTGGCTTAGGCGGCCCTACGTGGACTCCAGGCCGGTGGCTCCGTGACCCCAGCGGGCGGGGCTGGGGCCGGAGTGGGGAGGGGGCGCCCCGGGTCGGGCGAGACGAGACCCTCGTACACGGCGGCCAAGGGCTGGGGCGCTTACCCGGCCGGGCGCCGCTTCAGCCATGGCTACCGCGTCGTCTCTGGGCTGCGGTCCTCCGCCGACAGATGGGGCCAGGCGCGGGCTGTGATCCTCGGTCGACCGGTCGGGCCAAGCGCCGGCTGCGCGTCAGGGACCAGCGGGAGTCGCCCAGCCTCGGAGCTGCTGCCCAGCGGCCGCAAACTGCACGCCGTCCCGAGCCACGTGCCCAGCTGGCCCTTTAACTGCGCCGCGGGGTAGGCCGCGGCCCGGCGCGCACAGCGCCCCCTGCGGGCGGAAGGACCGCGCCGTGCGACGCTCCGCCCGCGGCCGCCAGCCTGCGCGCTCGCCCGGCCACCTCGCCCGGCCCGCTCGCCCTGTTCGCTCGCCCTGCCCGCTCGTCCGGCGCCCTCGCCCGGCCACCTCGCCCTGCGCCCTTGCCCGGCCACCTCGCCCTGCCCGCTCGCCCTGACACCTCGCCCGGACACCCCGTCCTGCCACCTCGCCCTGCCCGCTCGCCCTGACACCTCGCCCTGTTCGCTCGCCCTGCCCGCTCGTCCTGCGCGCTCGCCCTGCCACCCTCCGGGGCGCCCGTCGGCGGGCCGCGGGCTTCAGGCAAGCCCACGGGAGGGTGGATTCAGGGAAGACGCCCGCGAGGGTAACGCTCGGGAGATTTCCACGCTCTGTGCGCGGGCGGAACACCTTCATCCCGAGCGTTCACTTTCCCTCTTCTACGGCCTCCAACCGAAAGATGGGAAGGTAGGGGGGAACATAAAGGTTTCTAAACTCTTTTTGGTTTTTCAGAACAAATGGGGAGCCCCAAGGGAAATAGTGCGTCTAAACCCGTGCGAGCCCGGGACTCGGGTGTACCTCGGTGCTTGAGCGCTTGCCTGGCTTCGCCAGAGCCCGAGGAGGTCGGGTATTCTCCCCTCTCGCACCCACCTTCCAGGCTCTTAGCCTCTGGGATTTATGAGTCTCTTTGGCAAACCCTGGGCAGAGCCCCTCTTCCAGCCCACTCTGCCACACCGTCTGGACTTGCTCATGGGCATCCTGTTGGCTTGGTTCCAGGCGGGACCTGGGGGTGGCCGTCCTGCTCTTCCTGCCAGGAGCCTTTCAGATGGACTGGTTCACTTGTGAGGCTCTAACCAGTTCATGCCCTGAGATATCCTGAATAAACTATTCCGTTTAAGATCACTTCCCTGCTGAAACTAGAAAGCATTACTAAAATTAACCTTGGAATATTAAGTAAAACCTTTTTCTTTGTTTCCTGCATTTTCCACTCATGTTTTGGTCTTTATCCAATAAGCTAATAAACTTCCAGCCTGCAACCGTCTTTTGTATCTTTGGGTTTGTTTTGGGATGTGTATGTGTGTGTGTGATTATCTCCAATCAAAGTATGTGTGAGCTGACATAGTATGGACACAAAGAAACTAGATACCCTTCCTCTAACGTGCACCTTTGGCATTTAGCGCTAGGAATTACTACTTTGAGTTATATCAAAGTAAGAGCAGTATCACATTTAACTCTAACAAGACCCAAATCAACATCTAGCATTATTCTTTGGACTTATCTTTAAACGGGGTCCTGTTATGTAGCACAAACTGGCCTCAGACCCCCAGTGCTGGGACTGCAGGCGTGTGCCACCAGAACCAGCTCTTCTGAGAGTTGTTGCTTAAGTAATCCCACCTAAAGACAAACTGCAAACATGTGCTCAACATAATAGGAACCTCAGTAGGATCACATCAGAGGTCAGTCTAAGGTATTTAAGGTTATAAAACTAATAAATTGTGATCTTTAAAATAATAGTTAAGGCATGGCGGCACATACCTGTAATCCCAGTGACTTGGGAGGCTAGGGCAAAATTGGTGCTTGTGAGTTCCAGGCCAGCTTGTGGATTTCAGACTGCCCTGAGTGAGTGTAGTCGTGGTGAGATTAAGATCTTCCCTAAAGAAAATAACAACAACAAATAATTGTTAATGTGCAATACAACCAGAGGAATCTGAAAATGTATTAGAAAATGAAAAACATTAATGAGTTTAACTCATAGGATCTCTATAGGGACGATAAACTTGTATGTGGCCTGGACTGGCCTTCAACTCAGGACAATCCTCTTGTTTTGGCTTCCTTAGAACTGAGTTACAAATCATGAGACACCACAACAGGCTAAGTATGACAATTTTTGTAGTGTTTATTTTTATTTGTGTGAGTATATGGCATGGCATTTAGGTTGCTTGAGGAGGCCAAGAGAGGCTGTTGTATCTCCTGAAGCTACAGTTACGGGTCATTGTGAGCCACTTGACATGGATGCTGGGAGCTGAACTTGGGTTCCCTGGAAGAGTAGCAAGAGGTCCTAACCCATGGGCCATCATCATTTCTCCGGCGCCCTAAGTACTGAATTTCAGACAGCATGAATTTTAGAAGCTACCTCTAAAGCCAGGCATGATGGTATGGGCCTGTAATCCCAGCGTTCAGGAGGCTGAGGCAGAGAGATTATCCTGAGTTTGAGGCCAGCCCAGGCCACATAGTGAGTACCAGGCTAGCTGGGGCTACATACATTTTCAAAAGAATCAAAAACAAAGACAAAAGTTCCTCAAAGCCAACACTACTAACTCAGATGTCATTGTGCATCTAGTCTACCTTAGGGGCCTGCTGAAAGAGACTGCAGGGAGATTTACATTGCTAATTCCCAGGAACCATGGTCTACAGACTCGAAGGTTACAATCCTTCACATCAGTTCCCAAAGTTACCTGCCATTCAATGCTGGATTTATATATTTTAAAACCACTTTGCCCCAAAATGTGGTTTCTTGAGCAGACTAGTCTGGTTTGTCAGGCTCACTGTAGCTCTGATGTAAGTTAAAACTACTCTCATGGCCTGGAGAGGTGGCTCAGAGGTTAAAAACACTGGTTGCTCTTCCAGAGGTCCTGAGTTCAATTCCTAGAAACCACACAACCATCTATAGTAGGATCTGGTGCCCTCTTCTGGTGTGCAGGTGTACAGAATGGTATACATAATAAATCTAAAAAATAAGATTACCTTCGTAATATTTTTAGATTTTAGATTTTATTTTAATTATCTGTATTGGGGCATGGGATGCAGGTGCCCAGAAAGGCCAGAGACATTGGACCTCCCTGGAACTGAAGTTGCAGGCTGCCTGACCCAGGTGTTGGGAATTTAATTCAAGGGCTCCGAAAGAGCAGTTCTTGCTCATGAACTACATTCGGCCCCATTTAACTGGAATCAACCTTTTCTTAAAAACAAAACAGGGTCTTGCTATACAACCCTGTCTAGTCTGAAACTTCATTAAATAGACTAGGCTGTTTCCTGAATGCTACCACAGCAAACCTGTACTCCTCTTTTCCCACAAGGCCTCACTCTGGCCTCAGCTCTCTGGCCCCACCCCATGCTAGCATGACAGACATGTGCCGCCACCTCCCGGCTTAGATTTTTCCCAATGCAGATGATCAGTCAACACAAGTGAGGCTGTCTCTTTTGAGGGCCCAGTAACAAACGGACAACACTTATGAACTAACAACATTAGGGACATCTAAGGTGGAGGCCACAACCCTTTACTAACAGGCACAGGTCACTCTGAAACAGCCAGCCTTGGGCCTCTGCTATTGAAGGTGGGGCTGTCGGAAGCTAAGTCTTTGGTCACCTAAGATCACTCAAGGAATAGGGTCAGGATATTTATTCAAGTATTATTGTGCCCACTAAGAAAAAGGAACAGCTCAGGCAGCATTCCCATGAGCTGCCTCACCCTGTAATCCAGGCATGTTATAGTGAGATGTAGATGTTCAAACTGGGGATACAGCTCAATTGGGAGAGTGCTTGCCTAGCGCGCACAAATCCCCTAGGTTCAATCCCTGGTATTCACCCCCAGTGACAAAGTGGATGCTCCCAGGAGAGGAAACATTAGCGGAGGCAGACTATATGGATGACCAGGCCTCTTTTCCTCAACAGCTCTTCCCAATGGCAGGCAATACTGTCGTTCTGTTCTGTGGAAACCCATTATACCTGTTCATTCAATGAACATTTGGCAAGCACCTCATGTAGGGTTCAGCTAAGACACTGTCCCTGCATTTTACAGCACTGATTCAACCTTGGTGACCATGTCCTTCCCCCTTCCTACCATAGTTTCAAACAGATCTTTACAGACTCCTGCTTGTCTGGCTCAAAAAAAACCCTACATGGCAACATATCCCGTTCTTCACACTACTCCCCAACCCCAACCCAAATCAGAATCAAAGTCAAAGGGTCTGCCTTTGCAAAGCCAATCCTCAGCCCAATATTAAGTGAATAAAACTGGCCCCAGTGTGCCTCCGCTATTCCGCTTCTCTCCACTTCCCAGCCAGACTAAATGAATGGCTGTTCCACTGTCTGTCTCTTACCTGCTTTGGCCACATCACCTCTATTTACAATGCCGTCTTCCCATCTTCAAAGTCAGTTGCTGTGCATGGTGGTGCGTGACCACATACTAGTATTTAGGAGGCGAAAGCAAGAGAGCCAGGAGTTCAAGCACAGCCTGGGCTATAACCAACTTTCTCAGAAACAAACAAAAAACTAAAGAAAAAAGTCAGGGATATGGCTCAGTTGATAAAATGCCCGTCTAGCATGCACAAAATCGTAGGTCCAATTCTCAGTACTACATAAACCAGGTATGGGGGCTCATCATGTAGTCCTAACACTCAGGTAACACAGGGAGAAGGATCAGAAATTCAAAGTCATTTTCAGCTACATAGCACATTCAAGACCATCCTCAGCTAAACAGAGGTTTTCAAGGAGAGGTGGGCACAGAACAGAAAGAACCTGGATAAGAATAGTTTCAGGGGTGGGGTGGAGAAGCTGGAGAAACGGCTCAGCAGGTAAGGGCACTTGGTCTTGCAGAGGACAGGGATTCGATTCCCAGCACCCACATGGTGGCTCACAAACATCCATAACTGCAGCTCCAGTGGGTTCAAAGCCCTCTTCTGACCTTGTGCATGAGGCACACATGTGGAGCACAGATGTGTATTTGAGCAAAGCATTCACACAAATAAATCTAAGACGTAAGTTCAGAGGCTAGCAATATGGCTCAGTGTGTAAAGGCACTTGCTGCCCAAGATGATGGAAACCAATGATCTGAGTTCAACTCCACATAAAAGTGGAAGGGAGAACTGATTTCAGAAAGTTTTATACACACACACACACACACACACAGAGAGAGAGAGAGAGAGAGAGAGAGAGAGAGAGAGAGAATAAAACTTAAAAAATAAATTAGTTGCATTCTGGGCATGGTGGTGCACAGCTGAATCCCAGCATTTGGGAGGCAGTGGCATGCTGATCTCTATGCTGGAGACCATCCTGGTCTTTACCGAGTCCCAGGACAGCCAGGCTACAAAGAAATCCTGTCTTGAAAAAGCAAAA